ATTGAAATTCAATAAATAGTTTGAACGACCTATTGAATGAACTTGTGGCCTGTGGCTTGTGGGTTATAATAAAAGATAAGTTCATTTTTCTTGTAGTTCATTTTTGTGTTCAGCTTTACAGTTTATAGTTCTTGTGATTTCAGTTTCTGTAGATATTATTTTCAGTTCGGTTTCTGTTGATTGGCACATTTATTTTGTTGTTTTTGTGAGCTAACTGATTGAACTCCTCCCAACATTCTAATCAATAACAAATAGAGTAATTTTCTCTTTACATCTTCTCTTTCGTGATCAGAGAATTATTACATGTGGTATCAGTTCACTCCGAATGTTGCGTTATTGGTTGCGGGAGATTGATGGCTGCGAACTTGAGAAAACATTTTTGGGATCGTCGTAGATGTGACCGAAGCCAAGAGAGGTGTGACAAAGCGGAGCTGGCAAGCAAGCGGAATTGATGATGGAAAGCTTTGGGGATGTTGGAAGTAAAGGCATGCATTGTGCAGTTGAGTCTATTTACATGACTTTGTAAAGCGTGATAAAGCATTGAAAAAGAGATCACAAAGAGGGGAATTTGTGTCGATTGCTTCGACATGCACTTTGACACTCGGGCCAGAGAACCGTCCATCCAAGGAACCAATGCAAGGGGCAGAGGGAATTCTAATGCGTAAACATGAAGAACTTTCGACCTAAAATTTGGTCGTGCATTTTCTAAAAGTAAGATGTGCGAGCAACTTGATTGCTATCATTTTTAAAGGTGACATATGTTGTTTTCAGAATATCCACACTTACATTGAAAAACATGAAAAATTCCTTTCCTATTTGTTTTTAGCAATTCAAGTATGAATCATTTTACTTTGGAGAATACATTTTGAAGGACCATTTTATGGGAACACTTTGTATAGTGTTCCCTTTGATCTTTTGGATCGTGGGGTGTGATAAGGTTGATCAATAACTGCTTTAATAACTGAACAAAACTCTATATTCATTCAAACCTTGGGCGTCTCGAAGGCTTGGGCGAGAGTGAGACCGTCGTTCTGAGCGACAATGAGGCACTCCATTCTCTTAAATTTTGGGCGTTCTGCAGGCTTGGGCGATGATAGTCCTCTGCTCGTGGGCTGTCGCTATATTTTACAATGGTCTCATTTGGGCCTATTCCTCAATTTTCTTAACTGAGCTTCCTTTCTTGGACCACATAATTAGACCTTACTTAATAATTGGGTCTCGTTTAATCATTGGGCCTCATTTCATTGAGCCTTATTTTTGTATGTCAACAAAAACATTGAAATGGAAATCACAAAGAGGGGAATTTGTGTTGATTGCTTTGATACTGCGGCCAGGGAAGCCGTCCATCTGAGGAACCAATGCAAAAGGCAGAGGGTGAAGATTGGTGTTGAAGGTGGTATGTACGAGTTACTGTGGGAAGAGGTGCAGGGTGCACCGTAGACGCCTGTCCATTGGGGGTATGGTGCCGCAATTGTGGAGAATTTTTTTTCTCATGTTTTTGAAGTATTTCTTGCTGCA